GTGTGTGTGTGTGTGTGTGTGTGTGTGTGTGTGTGTGTGTGTGTACGCATGCCTGGGATGGGTGGGTGATGAGGCAAATAAGCCTGGCAATGAGAAGGTTAATGAAAGCCAGTGGATCCACCTCACTATACTTCAGCAAATGTTGGGCATGGGGAGGGAGGACTGGAAATGTTGCTCGGAAAGCAGAAAGTTTTTTGGGCAGAGTGATGGGTTGAAAGATGTTTGGAACTGTGAACAAAGAAAATACCTCCTGTTCTTTGATTCCCGCTGTCTTCAGAGTAACAGGACTTTGTGCATATGTTTTGTAAACAAACAGAATTGCATCAAAGAAATACTTTACTCCATATCAGTTTCTCCGAATGGAAACAACCTACAAGACCCCAAATATCCAATTGGGTCAAAAAGCAAGTAACAATACTTACAGAAGGGAGGCTCTGCATGTACATTATAGATGCTGGGGCATTTTGTGTTTTTTCTGGTACAAATTTACATCCAGCTTCATACAGCTTTGTCTGTTGATCATAGTCGCATTCTCTTGTCATGCAGTTGTTTCCTGTGCAGCTTTGGACTATATATTTACCAGTGATATCAGCTGAACATCTGAAGGAAGGTGAGATAGAAAAAGGCTTAGCTAACAAGCCACATATAACCAACAAATAATAATCTGTTATTTATTATTTGAATCGTGGTAGACCCAAAACCTCCAAACATGATTAGCATTAGTTAGACACCATGGGCAGTGGGTGAACCACAGACTTGGGGAGGCTAGCCCCCTAGCTGCCCCATCCCTTCTACCTGGAGCCCTGCTTCTCCTGCCCACCTTCCCCCCGCTGCAGCCCAAAGGCCTCCCCCGCAACCCTGGAGCACCCGGTGGGCAGGCAGCACAGCCCAACCCCCACCGGAGTGCCAGGTGGTGGATGGCACGAGCACCGGCTCCAGCCACCCAGAGTCCCTGGCTGCAGGCCGGCCCCCCACTAGCCCAGCTTGGAGGAAGGGCCCTGAAGCCCTCCCAAGAGTGGGAGGTCTGGAGGCTCCCACCCAAGGTGGAGGCAGAAGCAGCCCCTGCTCGTGTCACAGGCCCCCCGCCCAGGGCAGGTGGAGGGACCCAGGCTCCCCAAAGCTTCCCGGGCAGCTCTCCCCAACCCGGCTCCGGCCAGGCTGCGGGGCCTCAGAGCCACAGCCTGGCCATTATAAGAGCTGGGTGGGGAGCTGGAGGGTCCGTGGCTCCTCTTAGCTTCCTGTGCGGCTCTTATTATGGCCAGGCTGCAACTCTGAGGGCCACCCCCGGCCAGAGCCGGGTCGGGGAGAGCTGTGCTGTGGGGAGCCTCCTCCTGCAGCCAGGCAGCGGGGACATGGTTTGGGGGCTGCTCTCAGCCCCCTCATCCCCCACCCACACGCCGGGCAGGTGAAGTGTCTGCCACAGCTGTCCGGGCTCCCCGGCTGGACTTAATGCTGTTCTGGCCAGGGGGTGGCGGTTGAGGGGGGAAGAGGAGGGGAAGAGGTTGGGTCTGGCCAGGCCCATCCACTTTCAAAAGTGGAAGGGCTATGCCCCCCGGGTCCCTCCTGGTTCCAGCGCCACTGGCCCGAGGCCCCGGCCACACGAGAAGGAAGAGGCAGTCTGGGTAAGCTCAGTTTCCCCTGCCTTTGATACCCGCTGCCCATGTTAGACACCATCTCTGCTCCAAAGACTGTACAATCTAATTTACAAGTGGTCACAATAATAAAATACTGGTAGTCTTTTTTTTTTCCCCAGAGGCATCCTCAAGAAATTATTTATAGGTTGTGTGTGAAACACCATCTATGTGAAGAAGAAGAATGCAAGTGACTCCACTAGTCCATCGGTATGCCTCAATCCAGACATGAAGGACCCTCTCCTGAGGTGAACGGGTACTACATTCTCCATGCCCATTCAATCACTGTCTCGGGGACAGAGTTCTAGGGCTAGAGCTGACCCAACACTCTGATCACCAAGGTACTAGCTATTCCCCCTGGAGTGGACTTAACTGGGAGATGGGTGCTCAATGGCTTAATTAGACACAGGGCTGATGTGCTAATGAGAGCAATCAACCCATCAGCTGGGAGCAGTTAAGAGGCAGGAGGGAAATGCAAGAGGGAGGATGCCAGGAGATACAGGGGCACATGAGGAGATCTTTCCCTCTGCCACCCCAGTGAGTGGGCTATGGGGAAGTTTATGTACACTCGTATGTTGCTGTACTGATGAACTGGTGGAAGGGACCTAATAAATAACACACTCATGCTTATAAACCTGGAAAGTGTCCAGCCGGTTTGCGGTGTTTGAAAGGGTGGAGCAGGGAGCCCTGTCACAGTCTCCTTCAGTAGTGACTGCCAATTAGAGTGCCAATTGCAGTACAGAAGTTTGGTGATGTTGATACTTGTCCATTAGGAATTGGACTGAAAACACCAATTCATTTCAAGTGACTGGCAGATGGTAATGAGTTTTCGGCACTACCAAACTGGTTTCAGTTCAGATCAGTGCCTGAGAAGTGAAAAGTTCTGTATCCCATTTCAAACCCACTGAGATATCCAGTCTCACTCTGGTTTTTGTTTCTCATTTACAGAGTTGTACCTTTAAAAAAACCCACTTAAATATGCAGAATCTAGAGAACATTATCATAAGATAGTAATAACGCTAAAACAGGGAAATAATGGGATGTGCACTTTGACCATGTACGTTTTTAATATTTAAATAACACTAAACATGAACTAGTAAGAATGTTTTGGAACTTCCGGATCCCCACCCCCCAACCCCAAGGAATTTGAGAAAACATTCTTATTTACTACGTGCTAACTGCTATTTGATAAAGCCAGGGTAAATCAGAATGTAGAGATCGGGTACTCAAATCTGTAATTGCATCTAAATTAAAAGCTCATTTAGTGGTAAAAATGTGATGCATTACAAAATGATAGTGATAATTCAATGAGACTGGTCTGTAGACAGCAATATTGTTAGTTAAACATTATCGTATAAGCTTCTTTTTTAATCCTATGAACAGGGCCGGCTCCAGGCACCAGCCCACCAAGCTTGTGCTTGGAGCGGCACCTGGAGGGGGGCGGCGCGGCGCTCCGGCCCCCGGGGAGAGCGGGGCCA